TAGTTATATTTAATTGTTAACTGTAATTCAGTATGTGTTAAGAGTTTTTTATGTCCAATTCTTTAAAAGGTTTAAAAACCCCTCCTTAAACAAGCCGTTCCCCCCTCCCCGACTCATGCAAAATTTTTATTAATTAGATCGACCCCCACCCCCACTCTATATTCACAGATCTACACAGTTTGTTTTTAATCTTTGTGAAGAAACAATCTCAAGGAATAATAATTGTCTTAAAACATTTTTTTAGAAAGTGAATATTTGCAAATTTTTTTTTCCATCTCATAATCTGAGTTCTTTTCCCTTATGTCCATTTGACAGCCCAAATTTTTATTTTGAATAATCTTTTTGTTTGTTTATCTTCTTGCGATTTTTACTTTTTTTATCAATTTTGATGGTTATTATATCGTTAGAACAGACCGAAATATATTTTCAATAAATGTGGAACTAACATCTACTTTTTTACTCTACAGCGGTTTGGTCCATCACCATCACTGAATTTTAAATGAACATTTCTTTCAGGTTTTCTCATATTTTAAACATGAAAAGACTTTCATACTTTTAAATTTTTTTCTCGCTTCTTTTTTTGCTAAAACTTTTTTAAATTATAAACATTGAAATAAATTTATACTTGATTAGAAAAAGCTTTTAAGGGTATTGTGTGAAGAGGGCATTGCAATCTTGCATGAAGGGTCACTTGAAATTATGCTTAGAAGAACCCTTTTAACTGATTCGTAGGTCTGTATAAGATGGAGGTCAATACTTGATATCAAGAATCACAATACAAAATTTCTTACTTCTGATCATTAATGTTTTGTTGCTCAACGCTAAGAGTAGCTTAATGACTGAAGAACAAGTTAATGACTGAAAAGCTTTGTCTTGCCTTCCATTCCTTGTCATAAATAGCTGGTCTAGATGTCCTTCCAGCTCCTGTCCAGAGAGTTCAGATACTTATGTTATGCGACGTTATCATCTCGTTCTACAATTCCCCGCCCCCCCTGTTCTCTTTTCATGAATTATGTGAAACCCCTGAGAGGAGGACCGATCTGTGCGTATAGGAACTTTCTAAAACCAGTTTTGTTAGTGAATGTTACCTTAAAATCTGCACTGTATTCGCCATTTTTTTTTCAGTTAAACCAGATTTTTTGATAAGAGAAGTATTATTGTCGTAATCCTGTGAACAGCACATTAAGGTACAGATTATACACTGTTTATTTAATTATTCAAAGCTTAGTTTAAGTCCTTATTATCCTTGTATTTTGATAACATTGATTTGTCATGTAAAATGTTTCGTAAATCCGATTTATGAAAGATTGAAAGTATCGGAATAAATTGTTCTTTTTATTGATCATCAAGCTTATAAAGATAGATTGCTTTACATTCATGTATTCGAGATTCTTTTATATCATGAGTTTTCTTTTGATCTTCGTATGTTTTGAATTTTAAAAGATTTTAAACTATCGTAAATAGATTGTACAAATTTTCTTGTCAATCATATATATTAAAATAAATTAACATGGACAATCTTTTGTAGATTGAACCCGTTTCTGGTACAGTTCTTGAACTTCTTTATTCTGTGAGAGAGAGATTTGAGACTCTGTCTTGGTTCTAATCGTAATCCTATAACGGGATTATGTTGAGGTCAATAATACTTTAGGATATTTTAAGCGGCCAAAATTGGTCGCGAAACAACTTATTAATAAATAAAAAAAAACAAAATAAATTCTTTATTAAATAGAAAATATTTATTTTAGGAATAATTAGAGATAATAATAAATTCAGAATAAGTCAAAATAAGCAAGATTATCTTCTATGCCGGCAAATTGTTTTAATTGGAATAAAAGAGTTAGCTTAATGTTTTAACCAACAAAGCATAAGATGAAATATTTTAGAATATTTGTTAATTGCAGGTAGGATGTATTTAGTTTCTGTTTTGTCATTAAAATCTGGTCCCAGATTGTTAATTTTTAAATAAGTGAAAACTAATTTCTAAATTTTTTGGCTCTATGCAGATTGTTTGTAAAGTAGCTAAATTAAGTTTAACCTTAGTCCTAACAAGTTGCTAAACTGCGGGCGAATTAGTTCTCATAAGGTAGATAGTTGACCCTTTGCCTTAGATTGTTGACTAAAGGTCGACTGTATGAACCCTCTCTTGGAACTTGTATATTGGCTATAACCTCTGAAGGTGGTCTGTCTGTTCCAGGTATGTAAATAAGTGAAAACTAATTTCTAAATTTTTTTGCTCTCAGCTCCAGACATATTGGCTGAAACTGTTAGTGGAGGTCTCTCAGCTCCAGACATATCGTTTGAAACTGCTAGTGGAGGTCTCTCAGCTCCAGACATATAGTCTGAAACTGCTAGTGGAGGTCTCTCAGCTCCTGGGATATTGGCTGAAACTTCTAGTGGAGGTCTCTCAGCTCCTGGCATATCGGCTGAAACTGTTAGTGGAGGTCTCTCAGCTCCTGGCATATTGGCTGAAACTACCAGTGGAGGTCTCTCAGCTCCAGGTATATCGTTTGAAACTGCTAGTGGAGGTCTCTCAGCTTCAGACATATCGTCTGAAACTGCTAGTGGAGGTCTCTCAGCTCCTGGCATATTGGCTGAAACTACCAGTGGAGGTCTCTCAGCTCCAGACATATCGTTTGAAACAGCTAATGGGGGTCTCTCTGCTCCAGGCATATTGGCTAAAACTGTTAGAGGAGGTCTCCTAAATGAAGGTATGACTGCAGGAAGTGATGAAGGCCCAGGGATATTTACCATTTCAATTGAGTTTGGATGAACTCTTCCCTTCTGAAAACACTCCCTGAAAGGAAGGGGTTTGGTCAGCATGATCTTTCTTAACTGTAGCATAAAGAAGCATCGAATGATACTTTTCCTAGCAAAGTTATATAAGATGATGGTAACGCAGATTGAGGAAAGGTATGCTCCACTGGGAAAATTCTGCTTTGATTTCTGAAGACCTACAACCCCAAACCCTGAGAAGGTGCCAATGAGCGTGCCAACCAATAATGACTTGATAGTAAACACACTTTTTGCTGGACTGTTCTCTGCATTGATGATCGCCAGGCTGTGATGAGTCCTGAGATAGTGCTTGATGTAGAAGTAGCTGATGACACCAATACTCAGGGTGAGTAGCATGTGTATGATGTGTTCTAGAGTGTAGCGGTTCAATGCTAGTGACGCAGATTCTCCAGTCATGTGAGCAACCATGGGAGAGATGTATCCTAGGGATATAAGATGGGTCCATTCAAATTATATAAAAGAAATTTTAACTAAGAAGGAATTACTCATTGTTTATATATAATTCATTGTTAAGAACCAAGCAAACTCTTTCAGATCTAAGTTTGCTAAAGTCTACTCTGAAATATTTTAAACTATTTTATATAGCACAATCTCTTTCATATGTAAGTTGCTTTAAATGTTTACCATTTAATTTATTGTATTTTTTTTGCAGTTTTAACATCAGATGAATAAATGTTGAAAACTTACTGAATTTCAACAACGACATTGTAATTTTAAAGGATAGCTTGAAATTGGAAATAAATATTAAAGAAAATATGAATTTAGATCTGAATGATTTTGAACATCTGGAACAATCCAACTTATGGCCCTTGTTTTCAAAACAGTTACAAAAATTTTCAAAAGTGCTTAGAAGTTTGCAAAATTTTACAATTCTGCTAATAATCTTAATTCATAATGCAAATTGGTATTTTAGACTCGTGATTCGATTCTGTACAAGTGGTACCGGCAGGTAGTTCAGTTGTACCATCTACACCTGATACTGTACAAGTGGTACCGGCAGGTAGTTTTGTTGTACCATCTACACCTGATAGTTGGCCAGGCACAAATTCTTTAAAAGTATTTGCTAGAATCGGTAGGTTCTTTTGTTGTACTGTCTACACCTGATTTTAGACCCAGCAGGCTTGGTCTAGTTTGAATGGGAAAAACACAGGCAAATGTCTTATAACTAAAACTGTTACCTGAAGAGATCTGGGCTGGAAGTAGCGTTAGCTGTAGAAGAAAATAGAAGACCATAATGAATCCCAAAACACAGTGAACATGAGAAATTGGTTCTAACCCATTCATTAGATCAAACTAAACAAATAAGGAAATTTGTAGAGATTTAGTGGTAGTCATCACATGTTAACTTTCTAAATGCATTTTGAATTATATACTACCTGAACTACAAAGAGTAGTCTAGTCAAAGCTATTGCTAGAACTAGTCCAATAGCTACAGATACAGTGTAGTCTACTAGAAAGTGTACTGCTATTGCTAGAGGACGAGGAATGTAGCAGAACACTGATGAGAACATTACACCTCCATTCTAAATTTTGGATTAAGGTTCCATTAGTTAATTTGAAGGTTTTAGAAGAGGTCCATGTGTCTAAACTAAGAGATTGGAATAGGCTTGTTTACTATTGAAACTTGCTTTGATAGTACTGTATTAAAAATTCAAGAAACTCAATTAAATCTTAAAGGCTTAAATCACATGTCTTTTATCTGACATAGACACAACCTTTTGATAAGTGTTTAAGCATAAGCAGATTTTACCTGGAACCAGACTATGAGGTTTAAGAATTCTACGCAGTAGTAGTTCAGTAGGATGATCATGTTGAGTTTAAACTCAGGCAAGGACTGCTTGTAGATTCTAACCATGCAGGAGAACAAGTTGCTCATGAATCCAATAAGAAGTCCAACAATGAATACCACTGGGTTAGGTTCCCAGGTTTTTATGGTTTCAGCTTGGTCTTCTGTGTCAACATTGTTTTCTCTCTTTGACTGATGGTCTATTGCTAGTGTTTGGTTGGTTCTTTTTTGTCCATGAGAGCTTATGAGTTGTTCTAAAAACCGTGTACTTTCCCTGTTTTCCCTCTCTGATTCTTTTTGGGAAAAAGTTTTCAGAAGAAAGATCTCAGTTGTCTCATACATTTCCTCCGGTTCCTGAATATTCTCGGGAATATTGTCACCATGTTTTTTTTCCTGAACCTGTGTAGAATGTGGCAGATGAGTTCTGGTGATGATGTCTTGTGTGACCTTGGCTGGCGAAATAATGCAAAACAAGATGAAAATGATCATGGCTGACTGTAGAAGTCTTTCATCTAAACATGCTTCAACCCAACTGGTAAATAAATCCTAATCCTCAGAGATAAAACTAAGGCTGTATAATAAGGATGGTTACTCTCGATGTACTCCATGTACGGAAAATGTCGTCTCTTAAGATAGATAGATAAAAACTTCATATGACGTAACTCTCGCCTCTATAATCAATCAGTGACATCATATTAGGTTTTTATCTATCTATCTTAGGAGGGAATATATTTTGTGCATTTGAGCGCATCAAGAGTAACCAACCTTATTATACAACCTTGGATAAAACTGTTTAAAAAAAATATACATATAAGAGAGAAACTGTAAATAATTGTGCGTTCAACAATAAAACCACTTAAAAGAATAAATTTGTTTTAATTGAAAAAAATATAAATTATAAAACCTTGAAATGTTAAACCAACTAAAGTTTCCAGTTGAATACAAATATTGATGGGAATGCATTTTGATTGTTCGTTCCACCATTATTCACATAAATTTGGGTCTCAATTCGTATTGAAGTTTTAAGGCATTTGATCATGCACCTGGGATTTTACCTGGAGTTTACCATTGTGTTTACCTCCACTTGCATCTTTATTTTGAAATTGATTTTTGCTTAGGTTTTTTTTACCAAGGACAGGACGGATTTTATGATTTTGAGCTTGGTCTGGAGACATTTGAAATGCTGATTCAGGATTGTCCATGTCCTTAAGTTATAAATGAATTTAGTCTTTGCTACAAACTTTGATTTTATAATCCCTTTATCATTACATAGACCTTAGATATTTCAAACTATGATTTCTTAAATCCAATCATCTAAGTTTGAAATATCAAAAGTTTACGCCAGATCTGGTGCAAAGATATAGAGATTAGAAAATTCAAGTTTGTGGCAAAGACTCAATTCCTTTTGTGGTGAAAGATAGTTCAGCGGCATGGTAGGTAATTCAGCCGCCTAGCTCAATCTCATTAAATGTCACAGGAATTGTAAATGAATTTGGCATTTGCATTTGATTTGTTCCTGGATATATACTTTTGGAAATGGAAATTTTAGACTCATTTTATAACTGGATATTTCTTCTTGATTTATCTTTGTTTTCTATCGCAGTTAAATATCCCTGGTTTCATACCCTGCATAATTTTGCATATCACGGCAAGAAACCACAATTTAAAATAATTAATTTTCTGGCAGATAAAGGAGGATATCTCTATCTATATTACAAAATCAGTAAATCCTAAAAATGTTGTTTTGCCCCCCCCCCACACACATCCGCCCGGAACTAGTATGTGTATCTGTTTAAGAATATATTTAGAAAGCTATCATATTCACCAACATAACATCAGGTTTTTATTCATTCAAAAAAATCTTTTTATCAGTGACTCAAACATTTTAAATTTTATGTATTACAACTAAAATATTGAGACAAGATGTGAAATAAAGTTAAAATATAGATTTTTAACGAATAAATTATTTTTTCCTTTTTTTAAGAAAAACAAAAAGACATTTGGTTCATACATCTTAGCTATGTACTCTTAAATGACAATATTTTACGTCATAATAAAGTAAATTTCAATCATAACTCTCCTTATTAAAATATGAAGAGCTATGGAGAAGAAGAAAATGTAGAGGATTTCCAATATATTACCGGATAAATTTCATTATTACATACTTGGGACGTAAAATCAAAACTAGAGGTGCCTCGAGCTCACAAAGTCGTACCAGTAATACCGCAAAGTCGTACCAGTAATACCTCAAAGTCGTACCAGTAATACCACAAAGTCGTACCAGTAATACCTCAAAGTCGTACCTGTAATACCTCAAAGTCGTACCAGTAATACCACAAAGTCGTACCAGTAATACCACAAAGTCGTACCAGAAATACCACAAAGTCGTACCAGTAATACCTCAAAGTCGTACCAGTAATACCACAAAGTCGTACCAGTAATACCACAAAGTCGTACCAGTAATACCACATAGTCGTACCAGTAATATCACAAAGTCGTACCAGTAATACCACATAGTAGTACCAGTAATACCTCAAAGTCGTACCAGTAATACCACAAAGTCGTACCAGTAATACCGCAAAGTCGTACCAGTAATACCGCAAAGTCGTACCAGTAATACCACAAAGTCGTACCAGTAATACCACAAAGTATTACCAGTAATACCTCAAAGTCGTACCAGTAATACCTCAAAGTCGTACCAGTAATGCCTCAAAGTCGTACCAGTAATACTACATAGTCGTACCAGTAATACCACAAAGTCGTACCAGTAATATCACATAACTCTTACCTTACCTCAAGTTTGCAGTGAAAAGACTCAAGAGTCAGAATATAAATTAGGATTTTTTTTCGTCCCCCATTTTTGGTTATTACCTTGCACATTGTTCACCTGCATACATCAGCACATACTATAGTGTTAGAAAAAATTAGATTTTATTTTGTGTTTTGCTTTCATAAGTTTTGAGGTTAATGTGAATTGTGCATGATGTTTTCTTGTTTTTTAATTGTGTTTGTTTTTGTAATAAATTGCATTTGTTTTTGTTGTGTTGCAGAAGTAATAAATTTTGCATAAATACTTTTTTGTAACATTGCATAATGCATAATATATGTAATTCTTTTCCGAACTTACTAAATTTTATCAAAACTGCTTTGTGAAGGCCTCTTGGCATGCCTTTCCAATTAATTCTTTCTGAGAAACTTTTTTTTGCATTTGAATATTCGATTGTGATTCCAAAATTGATATTCATGTTAATTTTGCCAATTAACAGAAAAGCCATTTTATAAAAATTTATTGATTTTTTATTCTTGGACTACAATAAACTGGAAATTGTTTAAGTCCAATAATCGGACGCAATCTTACGTTCAGGCCTATCAATCAGGGGCGGATCACAGGGGGAACCTGGGCCCACGCCCCCCCCCCTCTAAGCTCCTGGAATATGGATAAATGACCTGAAATATGGCTTCCCCTCAAATATTGGTTTAATCCGCCCCTGCTTTAAAGGGGGAAGTCTAAATGACCCCCCCCCCCACCAACAAAAAAGGTCCCCCCTGTCTAATTCTGTTGTATAAAACGCGCTGGGTCAACCACATACTGGGTAAATTAGACGGGCTGGTACAAGTAAACACTTCAGCGGGCAATCCTTGTACTGGTCCGCATAATGCAATTTTTGAAATATGTGATTTCTCAATTCAGTAGTTTAAAGTAGTTCAGTAGAAGTTAGGGTTAAAGGAATGTAGACTAATTTTTGATAACATTTTTGATAAAAAATTTTTTAATTGAATTATAAACTTATAATAAAGTTTCCCTTTAAGTAGAAATAAAAAATATGTTTAACCAAAAAAGTTTCACGGATTTTTCTCCCGAATTTTCCGCGGATCATTTCCCGGATTCGGTTGGGTTGCTCGCCAACTAGAGAACTGACCGAGGGAATCATTAAGGAGGCACAGATTCGACAAATTATGATAAGAGAAATAATTTAGTAAATTTCAGATTTTTAATTAAATATTCATGACACAAGGATGAATTTTTGATTTTGAAACCTTGGTATTTTATTATTATCCTGAAATCAAAACTTTTGTATAAATCTTGAACGTTTGACATTGATATCCATTGTGTACCCTTTTAATTTGAGGAGCAATGATTGATCCCTCACTTAGTTATCCCCACAGGAAATTTGATATCATTTGAAAATTAGTTTGTTTATCATTAGTTTCTCATCCTTTGTCCCCCTTATGATTTATTTCAAACAATCCCTTTGATTTTAACATCTTTTGCTCTTTCTGAGAATCCATCAAAGTTTTAATCTTTTATGAAGGAAAAAACTCCGCTAAAAATTGTAGTTTCTAGAAAACTAAAAATAAATATAAAGCATGTTGGGTGTCTTTAAAAAAACTTCAGTATTTAGTCCAAGAGCTTCAATTCTCAACCGATTTTCGTTTTTTAGAACATCAAAATTAGCAAATGTTATTCACGTTTAAATTTTTAAAATCCTTTGTTTCATTTTACTTCAAGATTTAAGGCATCACATCGGATTATGATAAAGTTGTGTGCCTAAAAAGCTAACAATGGCAATGCCTGATTTACAACGGTACTAATGGTACACTAATCTGTCAAGAAATATAACTGAAAATAATCAGTTTACTAAGTTAAATACGTTGATATCTAATTCATACTTTATCAGATAAAGCTTTTAAGGGTACAGTTGTAAATCGGACATTGCAACATTTGAATGGAGGGTCACTTGAACATTACGCTCATAGTCCTTTTATTAAAAAAAACAGTATTCAAACAGTATCTTACATCAACTACTGTATTTTAGAGACATCCTGTAAATATATAGACATATATATATATATAATTATCTATAATATATATATATATATATATATATATATTTACTAGCCTTAGAGGGCGCTTCGCGCCCATCTTCTAAATTAATTGTGAACATGTTCTCTTTGTGTACATCGTAAAACAAAACAAAAAAAAAATCGCGGATTTTCACAAAAAATTTTGTGGATTTTCAAAATTTTCAAAAATTTAATGAAGATCGAATTTTGATGGAGACAAATATTTGAAATTTTGATCATTCATAAACCTTCCCTGGGGTCCCTATGATGTCCCACAAAAAATTTGGGCCCGATCGGTTCAGCCGTTTTGACGTTTATTGGATACAAACAAACAAACAGACACCCAAACAGACAAGCCAAATTTATATATAGATTTATAGTCCTAATAAACTGAACACGGTAGTTTAAGAGTTGTAAAAACACCTTCAGCTAGAGAAAACAATCTAAATATATACCCCAGGCAAGGTGTGCACTCACGGTAAACTAGAGGTCCTAGTTAAACACCTTGAGCTAGAGAAAACAATCTAAATATATACCCCAGGCAAGGTGTGCACTCACGGTAAACTATAGGTCCTGGTTAAACACCTTGAGCTAAAGAAAACAATCTAAATATTCACCCCAGGCAAGGTGTGCACTCACGGTAAACTAGAGGTCCTAGTTAAACACCTTGAGCTAGGGAAAACAATCTAAATATATACCCCAGGCAAGGTGTGCTCTCACGGTAAACTAGAGGTCTTGGTTAAACACCTTGAGCTAAAGAAAACAATCTAAATATACACCCCAGGCAAGGTGTGCAATCACGGTAAGCTTGAAGTCCTAGTTAAGAGTCCAGCGAGCATAAACTTTAGAGCCTATACTAGCTGAAGTACCCGACCATGTCCGTTGAATTTTAAAAACTCGCAGTGGGAAAAAAATTTGGAAATTGGAAATTTCGTCCAGGCGTTTGGCCAGCTATGCAACTAACATAAATCTAAATGAGGAAAGAGCTTTATTATATAGATTTGCATCTATTAACTGTGAACTTTTCGTATTTGCTATTTCAAACTTTTCTGTTAGCCTATGTATAATAATTAAGTATATGAACTTTTACGCAAATTTTGATGAATTGTGAATGAGAGATGAAAATACGAAAATATTTCGATACGGACAGCATGTACTTTGTTGTATGTTAGTTTTACGTGCTCTGTATGTGTGCAGACTGAAAATATTTCGATACGGACAGCATGTACTTTGTTGTATGTTAGTTTTACGTGCTCTGTAGGTGTGCAGACTGAAAGAGGATCCCCTAATCACCTGTACAGGTGGCCAACCCTTTGAAAAGGGCATTTAGGAGTTCAATTTGGGGAAAATCCAGGAGATCAAGAAAAAGGTCAAGGGTATCATTAAAAATAAAGAAAAAAGTTATTTTCCTTCCTAGAACCCCCCCCCCTCACCCCTTTTGATAAAGGGAACGTTTAAAATTTAATGATTAATAATTGAAAAGTACATTTCTCATAATATATATCTATATATAAAGTTGTAATCTCTGTTTGTCTGTCTGTTTGTCCGATCATAACTCTAGAACCGCTGGACCAATTTGTCTCAAATTTTGATTGGGGAACTCGGGTGACCCACGCACGTGGATTTAACGGTTCTGTCAATATTCCAGAAAGATTTGACTTTCGATAACAATTTGACCCATTAAACATAACATTTTTTGTTGGCATGTACATTTTGAATAAAAATGTATAAATAAACAAATCCGTAAAGTAAATGATTATTGAATTTAAGACCAAAACACGTTTGATTTCAAATAGAAGAAACCGAATGCTGCTCACTCTGGTTAGTCCGGTGTGCACGGGAATATTTTTACCTTGGTTTTGAGATTCTAAGTTGAGTGGTTCGACTTTTCTAGCGAAAATTTAGTTTCTCGGTAAGATCGTTTAAGTGCGGGTAAACAGCTGGAGTAACTATGAGTACCCTGGGCAGCGCTGGGTTCCTAAGCTAGTTCTTAATAAACATATGATTTATGAGTAAGCCAATAGGATTTTTTTCAGAAAATCAATTTTTGGTTTAGATCAAGATGATTCGATAATTCTTTTCCTAAGCATTAATAAAATTACAAAAATTGTTTTTATTTGTCCATTCAAACCAAAAACAATTAAAAATCGCATTTTGAAAAAGGAACCTGATTGTTTTTTAAAAGAGAATGCCATCAATACGTATTACACATGATCAGATGAAAAATTCATATAATAAACTCTACCTGACATTTTTAAACTGAATTTGTCTAATACACCAGATCAATGCATAAACCTTAAAATGTAAAGTTTCTTATTTCACAAGACATAGACCACAGAAATTATGTAGAGTAGAGTTTCCAGCAGAATCAAAATTTCGTGCAAATTTTCTTGCGTTTTCCGCAATCTTTTGAGCGGAATTCAGCATTTTTGCTCGACGATGAATTCTGCGGAAGCAAATTATAACTGGGGAAATTATGCTTAAAGATATTTTCATTCAGCTGGAAACCCTGATCTGGAGAATTTCTAAAAAAAGTATAATACCGCCAAAAAACGAACTCCAACACTTTGAAATAGTTCTTAGACTCAATGGGACTGAAAAAAAACTATACAGATCACGCAAATCTGCCCCTTAGGTAAAAGTAAATTCAACCTATATGAAGCATAAAGTCTGACCGCGTCCACCTTGTTGCACCGACTAGTCCTGTCATTAGAGCTAGGTACAGTACAAACTGGGACCAGAAAGGTTGACCCAGCTTGGAAATTCAAATGTACTATGGCTGCCAGTGAGAGAGACTCTAATTTCATCAATATGTATTCTCTACTCTGTGTCACAGACATATACGGCTCTCACAGCATACTTGACATTGTGAGGTTGAGATTTCAAACATTTTTCTCTGTTTTTGTGAAACATTTCTCCGAACCCCATTCTCTGGATGCATAATTTTACCCACAAATGTGACATTGAATCTATGTAGTTAAAATACATTTTTTACGAAAAGAACTGAATTCTTTCCACTAATTCAAATTATCGTATGCCTATATCTTTGCAACCTGGTGGGGAAAGCCTTTGATATTTTTGCCTTAGACTATTTGATTTAACAGAATTCAAAGTTAAAATTTCAAAGGTCTCAAACAACATAGGATTGCACCGATATTGCATAGACTCAGTTCCTTTGAATGGTGAATTAAAATTAAAACCACGCTTGTACTTTTTGACAAAAGATTGTTGAACATTTTATATCGTAAAAATGTGAATTCTCAGGCATGCATTTTATACTATTAGTTTACTCAAAAACTCTTGGAAAACTGAGTGCCATTATTTTACTCAGAAACTCTTGGAAAACTGAGTGCCATTATTTTACTCAAAAATTCTTGGAAAACTGAGTGCTATTATTTTACTCAAAAACTCTTGGAAAACTGAGTGCCATTATTTTACTCAAAAACTCTTGGAAAACTTTATTCAAAAACTCTTGGAAAACTGAGTGCCATTATTTTACTCAGAAACTCTTGGAAAACTGAGTGCCATTATTTTACTCAAAAACTCTTGGAAAACTGAAGCCATTATTTTACTCGAAATGTCAGATTTGAAAATTCTTTCCAGTAGTAATTTTCTACAAAGCATGTCAAAAAGCATATTTGTTCTAATAAGTAATAGAGCTAGGAACAAGAAATTGTAAAATTTAACAGTAAACACTAATAAATATATTTATTTGAGAACAGTTTTGAAGAGAAGTATAACATCACTAAAATCACGAATTTTATTGTATAACACTGATTTAAGATTTAATTTGGTTAAAAAGAAATAAGATTTTGTGTAAGAATAACTTATTTTCCCTTAAAACATTGAAATAGATTAAATTCTTTGGTTAAGTGTCCTATTAAAGTTGGGTCAGTTTCAAATTTTACATTTTTAAATTTGTATTAAAGTACAACGCATATGAGATAATTTGTATTAAAGTACAACGCATATGAGATAATTTGTATTAAAGTACAACGCATATGAGATAATTTGTATTAAAGTACAACGCATATGAGATAATTGAAATTTTGAATGACTTTTAGCTCGAACCTGGTAACTATAGAATAGGTTCTTTAATCTTGACTACTAATATTGTATTTCAAACTTTGAGCAGCTCGTTAGGTTTTATATAAAGATTCTGTTCTTGATTTAGTACAAACTATTCTAAATTTTAATATACTTGTGGTACTACGATATAATGACAACAAAATATTAAGATTTGTTCTCAGACACTACTGTATGCCGAGTCCATAAGTGCCTGATCCAATCAGGGTTCAGTCATGTGTTTGTTGTCTATTCTGAACCAATAGAAATAGTATGCACGGTAACATCTATCTTTCTATCTATCGCATTATCCAATTAGAGTTTGAATCCTTCAATCGGCACTATAACAGTAAATGGAAATATTTACTTCTACTGAAACTATAGTGCAGAGTGCCCTAAATTCTAATAATTGTATTCTGAATTAAGATGGCCCCTCAGCCTAACAAGGACTCGAAGGAGGTGGATATGGAGAGGAAGGAGGAGTTGATACTGGCCAAGCAGCTCCGGGCCTGCCGGGTTTCTATTCTTCCAAAGGTTAGTGATTATTGATAAAACAACATCTTATCTACACTGTATAACTTACTTATTGCAGCATCGGTCAAAGAAGAGTATGCATATTCTTACCAGTGCTATGCATACACTTTCAACTGATAGTGCTACGATGTATAAGTTTATTTATAACAGTGTACTCAATGTAGCACCAGTCAGATCACTCTTGTATGTATAAATATATTTATAACAGTGTATTCAATGTAGCACCAGTCAGATCACTCATGTATGCCAAGTCCATTAGCGCCTGATCCAATCAGGGTTCAGCGTCATGTGTTTGGTGTTTTTTCTGAACCAATAGAAATTGCATAGCGGTAACATCTATCTTTCTATCTATCTCATTATCCAATTAGAGATATATCCTTAAATTGGCGCTACACACTAAATGGAAATATTTACTTCTACTGAAAGTATAGTGAGATGAGAGAATACATATTCTTACCAGTGCTATGCAGGTTATCTCTTCTAGACCCTCACAAATGTATCATTTACTCTCAGACAAATTTCCATTGATTCTAATTTGTCTGAGAGTAAATGAATTTTTAATAGATTTAATTCATAATATTATTTACACGTCCAAATTGCTTGACCAGAAAATCCACCAATGACAGTGCAGTAAAGTGGTCACGTGATACAAGCAGAGACACATGATCAGTATACTGCTCTGCCATTGGTGATAGTTCTGGTCACGTGATTTAAGTTTAAGATTTTCTTAATTTTACATATATGAACTTTCGTATGATTTTAACACAGTTTTATATCAATTTCTCGAGATAGGAACATCAGATAAAACTTTCATGGGTCGCGATCAAGAGCTAAAGTGATTAGCTTTCAGCCTATACCCCCTTTCATTTTTCCTTTACTGTCCCTTTAAAGGAAAATTGTTGCATACCAAAAAACCAGCTTTTTATAAAGGAATGAGAATTGAAAAGTTCAAGAGCTACTCCATAGCACTGGTGAAATTGTGCCGCTCTCCTCTGACTGTTGAAGACCGTATTAGAATCTTTTTTGGTCCAATTAATTGTTTAAATTAATAAAATTAAAATAATAAATATGTCCATCAAGTGATCGTTGTTTTTTTATAAGACCTTAACAATATTTTTTTGCATGTTAAATGATTTTTCTGTTTGCTAATGGAACCTTTCTAATGATATTTTTATAACATATAATTTGCTAAAATAAACTCTTTTTAGTCAAGTTTGCAAGACTTTGGATTCCACCCGCCAAGTCCTCAAAAAGCTCCTCAGAAGGTTCCTATAAAGATTAATCAAAAGAACCAGCTCCAAGTGCCAACACCTAAAAAGGAACATGTGGATAAGGCATCTAGTCCTATAGCATTACGATATTGGAATCAGTGCTTAAACACTGGGGACACTAAAACAACTAACAACGAGGATGCACCTCCGACAGAAAAGAATTATGGGGACTATTTAGATTTACCCTGGCTGTCAAAGGATGAGAGTAGTCCTAGTCCGAGTCCAAACCCAAGTCCTCAGCCAAATCAACATCATATGAAACAAAATATATCTGTTCCAGATATACGCCGTCACATGCAAGAGGTTCAAAGCAATACTAACTGGGAAGAGATTCTTCAAGAAGAAGATCGAAGAAAGACTTCCCTTCATCAACCAGCCTTTTATAGATACAAGGAAATTACAAAATTCAAATCAGTTGAAAGGCACTCACACTCAGTCAGTAGAAACATTACTTCCTCAAATCAACAAGAAGTCATATCCACAAACATGGTGAAAACTGACATTTCAAAAGCGGAAGGACCCAGACATGTGAACAAACCCAAGCCAGAACCCTTTAAGTTCCTCCAACCTCCTGTAAGATCAAGAGCTCATGATGATCCTAGCCCTGTCATGGACAGTCCCGGCTCATCACCAAGATTTATGAGAACCCCGTCCAAACATCCAGAAAATCCCAATTCTCTGACAGAAAGAGTTCCGGTTGAGTATGAACGCATACTTAGCACAGCAGGTCAAGGGATTAAGCGTGAGAATGAGAAAAAGGAAGCAAAGATGAATATCAACAGATTTATAACAATGGGGAAGATTAAGTCACTTGATGAGTCCTCTCCCCCTGTACAGCCTAACAGTTACCCATCCTTCCACAGCACTCAATCTTCAAGTAACAGTCCTAAGACTTCTCAAAAAGAGGTTCAACAAAATGTAATGTATACTCCCAATACAGCACGGAAACTTGGACTTTCAAATCCGACAAGAAAACACAAATCTCTAATTAGTGAAAAAGAATTTTTGGAAAAGCATTCATTTTCTACAATTGACTCAGATAAAGCTAAAGTTAGTAAACTCAATAAACAAGAAAGCTGTAGTAGTAATTTCAGCAGCAGTGATTCAGATTCAGAGCTGTATCCTCATAAAACTAATTCTACTGTAAGGACAAACAATGTAAATAACGCAGGACAGGATGATCAGAGCACAAAAGCTGTAACTGATCTTGACTCAGTAAATTTAGAAAAAGTGGTTTTAAGTTATTTCCAGAAAACAGACCCAAAAGACATCGGTGAAATAATTGTTAAAAAGCTTGATGAAAAAAGAAAAAATGCTCTAGGAAACAATATATTCAGAATATTTCGCTTTTTTATTTCCTTCAAAAGTTTTTTTCATTAAGAATGAAATACTGTTGAGAAGCAATGTGCTTGGAATGTATTGATTTCAGGGCTAGTGTTCTATAAAGAGATATCAAGCGGACTACTTAAAGAGATCATAGCTCAGGAGATCATGAATCAAACAACAGAAGAACTGGTTAATCTCCTCATGAATCTACCAGCAGAGGTATAGTTTTAATGTTTTACGCCTTTAACCAAGATTACCAAGCTCTGATTCCCCCAAACAGAGGGAAGTTACTGGACTGTGTCTTGGGGAAATAAAAAAAAAATCACCAAGAGTTCCGAAGATCAATTATGTCTTAACATTTTTTTAACATCCCTGTAAAGTACTTGTTAATAATTATCAAACAGCCTAATGACCAATATTACTGACCCATGGCCATAATTCCACAGCGGGATGTCAAGTTACTTTACTGTCCCATGGAACAAAATTAAGTAAAAAAAAAACATAATTTTCGTAATTTTAAATAGTTGTAAATAATTCGGATCTAAAGAATAGATGAGGCTGTTTGTATGTTTGCTAAATTATTTAGATCGATAGGGTTGATAAGGATGAGCTATTTGAAAACTTTAGATGTAAATAATAAGTAAATGTGTTTTAACATTGAAATGTAAAGTATGTAATCAATCTGCTCTGAATAGTCCAGGTGACAGAATACAAATAGTTCATCTAATGGGAAAGGCCCAAATTAACTTTTTTCATCTCAATTAAACTGCATTTACAGTCAAAGCAATGTTTATTTTAGTAAACAAAATTTTTTTATTTCGTAAAATATTTGATTATCATGTTTATGATATTATTGATCAATCTTTCAGAACATATTGCGTTTACGCTTAAGATTGTTGGTCATAATTTAGCGAAATTAAGTTTTTCAAAATTACGAAAAAAAATTTTAATTTGAAAAAAAAATGTTATGAATATCTCACCATACACTTTTAAATTCCTTTAAAAAAATGTAACTTCAGTAAAATATCTGACAAAAATGATAATCTAAATCTTTGAGTTTAAAAAGTGGTTCTTTCCCTCCCATCCGGCCTCCTCCCCC